CCCTCCCCCAGCCCCGCCCCGCCCCAACCCGGGGCTCCGAGCTGGAGCCGAGTCTGCGCCTGGGGGTGAGTACGCGACCCTTCCCCAGCCTCCTCTCTTTTCTTTGAGGATCTCACCACCACCCAAAGAAAAACCCCGGACTCAGCTGCGCGTCCTCTCCCTTCAACCTCCTGCGGGACCCAGAGGTGCCCGGGCCCGCGGGACCCAGTGGTGTCGCGCGCTGCTCCCAACCCCGAACCATCCTGAGCCAAATGTGAGTCCTCTGACCTCTGCGGGGGGTCCAAATGTGCACCGCCCTCTGTCCCCACCCCTCTGGACATCCCGAGGGGTGGGACCCCTGCCCCCGGCCCCCTAGAGCCACTCTTCTCCCACCTGTCTGGTCCAGGTGCGCGTCCTCTCCGGGGTTCCAGCTGCACCCCATCAGCCCGTTGTCGCTGTGGGTAACCTGCCGCCCCCGCCCCTGAGTTTTAGATTTCAGGGTCGCCAAGTCCGATGGCTTCGGTCTCTTTTATGTTTTCTCCTGCTCCCGGAGCTGGCCCAGGACAGGGGTTCGAGCTCGGGCAAGGGCAGGTTTCGTGGGTGCTGGCACGAGGCTGGCCGCTGCCCCCAGCGGATCTAGGGACTGGTCGGCGGGCTGGGGAGGCGGCTGGCTCCGGGAGTGTGTCCTCTCCTTGCGCCCCATACAGTGCAGTTCATTCATGAGACGCCCGGGCCTGCGTTGGAGGGTGCGGTGGGGAAAGGATTCAGCGGAGAATCGGCAGTGGGGCAAGGCCCTTTTGGGGGGGAGGAGGCGGGTTTTGTCCCTCCTGGCCTTCTTCATCACCTAGAGAGGACAGTCCCAAAGCTTTGGCGCCTTGTTCCCCAGAAGAGAAGGGCGTTTGAGAAGTGGAAAGGAGAGGTCAGAGGGGCCAGCTGCCCTTGGGGCTCTGTGCTGCCACCTGCCTGGATCCCCTGGGTGGAGGTCTGGCAGCTCGGCACTCCACTTCCGCAGGGGTTCTCTACCCAGTACCACTCTCTAGCTTCACTCTCTAGCTTCTACAGCAGCCTAGGAAGGATGAGGTTGTGTCCAACCCCTTCTGAGGAGAGGCCAACAACCCTGCCTCCCAGACAAATGTGAGGAGGGGAGTAGGTAGGAGTGTCTGCCAGGCTTCCAGGGCCTGTGCTCACAGCATGATGGTCTTCCAGGGCACCAGAGGGTCCAAGCCCTAGCATGCCCCAAGTGGCACATGCCGAGGCCTGCTGTTGGCTCGCCCAGCTCAGTCTTGGCCCATGGGTGGATGGATGGGGATGTGGCAAGGCAGAGGCAGGTGGTGGGTAGCTAAGAACCCCCTTTTGGACATCCTACAAGTTCCCACCAATTATAACAATCTTGAAGACCTCGGTTCAAATTTCAGCTCTGCAATTCTTTAGCTATGTGACCTTGACAAGTTACCTAACCTCTCTGAACCTCAGTTTCAATTAAAAAATGTGTTTACTATCACTTCCTTTCAAGATTTATCATGGGGATAAAACTAGACAATACAGGTAGAGCCTGGCACCCTGCCTGGTAGTTGATCAATAACAGGTGCTCTTCTCTGAACTTCTAACCCATCCTGGTATAGCATCACCCTCCCATACCCCCACCTCTCAGCCTGCTACAGAGGGATCAGGTATGTTTGAAGGGTTTAGGAACATTCCCTGCCTCTCAGCGGCAGAGTCCCAAACGCAGTATAAGCCCTTAGGTCTAAAGAAGCCCATCCTGACTGAGGAGCTCTGTCATATCAAATTCTGTTTTATTTTGATTTTTACCGGTTTTCCTCCACTAAACCAACCCCTTTTATTCCACACTTTATTAATAACAGTAGCTAATTTTTTAGAACCCATTATTTGCCTTTAACTGTATTAAGAGCTTTACATAAGTCATCTTGTTTAATCCTCGAATCAACCACATGATTGAATTATTAGCCCAGGATAGTGAAGTAATTTGCCCAGGTCAGAAGCCAGATCTGTCTCATCTTAGAGCCTGTGCTCTTAACCACCAGACTCTGTTGCCTGCCTTAGAACCTAAAGTCACAAACCCAAGGTCTGGGGGCTACAAGTTTGCAAGAGGGAAGACAAATAATAGGGTGTGGCATTTCTCAAGAGTGGTAGCTGGCAGCCCCCAACTCCCTGGTGGAAGTGGCTCCTCTGTTGGCCCAGGCAGCAAAGTACAGGGGTTAAGAGCATAGGCTCTAACCAGGCTGCCTGGGTCCATATCCAGATCTACCACAGACTGGCTGTGTGACATTGCGTAAGTTATGTACCCTCTCAGTATCTCAGTGTCTTCCTAGGGTTGTGATGGGGAATAAATGAGTTAATATTTGTAAAGTGTTTAGAACAGTCCCTGGCACAGAGTAAGAGTTAAATATTGATAAATGCATTCTTTTCCTACTACTATTATCCTCATCTGTGGATACAGTTTTGCCTATCCTTCTGAAGTTGGTAGAGGTAGAGTGAGGATATTAATATCTGTTACAGATTGGAAGACTGAGTCCTGGGTTACATAGTAACAGAGCTAGCCTCCATCTTCATCTCCTCCCATCAGACCACACTGCCTTCCTGTGATCCCAAGACCTAAATTAAATCTTCCCAAATAACTCTGTAAGAAAAAACTTGTAATTTATAACTCCCCACCCCTACCATGCACACACTTCTTAATGGTAAAATGACACCTTCAGTTAGCTAGAAATAAAATCTTCCATCAGTCTCTACATAATTCTAGCTAAAAGCCTCAGTGTCAGACTAGAGAAATTTCGAGATATAGCTGGCTCAGGCAATCCCAGTGGAATGGAGGAACTATCCCCCCTCTTACCAACCCCCCAAAAAACTCCCTTATTCTCTTCCCTCACAGCTGCTCAGTGAGGGCTTTGAAAGCAGCTGCCCTTCATGAAACTCAGCCCAGCACCCCCGCCCCCACAATTAAGAGCTTGGAGTAACCCGGTCAGCAAGCAGAGCCACCAGCCCTGGCTCCACCCTTTACCTGACCTGTGACCTCATTCGAGTTGCTTCTTCTCCGTGGGTCACTGAAAACGGGGATAATGATCTAAATGATCTAATCAGGGCTGCCTTGCTTATGATGTAGGTGGAAAGATCAATGCAGTTGTGGAGGGGAGAGGGCTTTATGACTATAAAAAGGCATATAGCAGGTGGACATGATGATTTCAGTTACTAAGCATCTATCTGGACCCTCACTCACCCTACTGGATCCCCTTAATGTCGAAGCCCCCAGAATGTCTCACCTAACTTCCAAATAGAGATGAGAAGGGGAATGGTGCTCCAGGGGTTTGTACCCATTACATTGTGGGCTGGTGGTACCTTGGAATTGGAGAAGGAAACAGGCAAGGAGTGGGAATACGCTGTCTTAATTTCTGGAGTGCATTGGAGTTGGGAGTTAAGATGCGGGGAGGGGAGACTAATGTAGAGGCCTTCCAACTACCACAAACCCAAGAAACCTATAGCTACCTTTAACGTCCTCTGGTGGCCCAGGGTTCTGAGTACCTTATGTTTACATACGCAGGCTCCCAGATAAACCCACATATGCATCCCCATTTAGATACCGACAACTCACTTCCTATCCATGGACTGCTATGCAATCACTTAGCTTCCCCACCACATACACACATGCAAATACACACATCAACATGTATTTACATACCTAAAAACATGTATGTCCACAGTGCTCTGGTGTTCTCTAGCCAGAAAACATTTAATGAGCACATATGAAGCTTCCGTGGTCTTAGGAGTCCTGTTCTAGGCACATCAGAAAAAGCATTGTGGTGCCCTGAAAAGTGTTCTTAGCTTAGAAGAAAGTTGTCCTAGGTTTGAATCCCAGGTCTATTTTATTAGCAGTGTGACTGAGAAAGCTGCTTAACCTCTCAGCCCCTGTGCCCTCATCTTAAAATGACAATGGCGTCCAATTCAGGATCATTGAGGATTAAATGAAATCATGTATGTATTATTCTTGAAACAGTGGGCACTGCTACAATTACTAAATTGGTGGGGTGTGGGGTTTTTGTTTGTTTGTTTTTTGTTTTTTAAGGCAACTTGAGCTAGAAAGGAAGAGGGAAGCATAGGACACAGGGCAGTAACTCCTCTAGTCTTCCTAACACAGGCTTTCCAGAGACTACCTGGGACCAAGTGAAACATATAAACAACGCCCTCGACCTGAGAGCTGGTGCCTCTTGCCAGTTGAAATGTTAGGGAGGGGGCGGGAGGACCAGGGATTGGTGGGCAGGAGAAACCCTCTGAGTCACCCCAGGGGGCTGGAGGACACTGGCTTCCAGAGTTGCAGTCATCGATTCTGGGTTTGTTGTTCTCTTTGTCTGGTTTCCTTTCTTCCCTGGGGACCCCCCCCCAAAGGCAGCGCTTCAGTGTTGTCAGCAGAAGGGGCTCCCAGGGGCCCTCCAGCAGGATGGGGGTGGGGCGATGATGCCACGGCCACACTTCTCCGCCCTGGGAGCCTTCCCAGAGCCGTGCTTAGCCCCGTCCCCAGGCACTTCCAGAACCCAGGCAAAAGGGCTGCCTGCCCGCTCCCTCCTCCTCCCCACCCCATCCACCTGGATCACTGGACTATCGAGGGCTGGACAGCCTGGCAGTAGCTGGAAGCCGGTACCCGGGCTCAGGGGGCTTGGGCGGGCTAAGAGGCCCCCGCCCACTCTCCTTTCTTTTGCCAATGGAAATGCTCGCTGGAGGCACGGCGTTCCCATCCTGCCCTGCTCTGGAGGCAGGGGCAGGACACTCTGGGAGTTGTAGTCCTCACACATCTCAGGTGACTCCCATGCAGAGATAATTGGAGAGAGATGTAGCTGCTGCTTTGGCGGGGGAAAAGGAATGAAAGTAAGCAGGAGTGATGGGTTAGGCAAATAATGCAAATCCAGAAGTCCTTTTTAACTGGCTTCCCACTCTGACCCTATGCTCAGACCCCTACTCTGGGAACAGAGGGGGCAGCTCTGAAGTCTTATCTTGAAGCCAGGTGTATTGGGAAGGTGATTAACAGAGTTGAAAACTAAGCAAATGGAAATATGCCATTTTTCTAGTGGGGTAGAAAAAGAAGATGAGGGTGAGGTAGCTGGTCCCTGACCCCTCCTCCCTTGACCTAGAAACCTCTCCTCTTAGCCTTAGATCCTCAGATCTAGGACCCCTCCCTCCCCATCTTCTCTCAGGCCGGGTTCTGCCCCTTGCCTTAGACAGGGAGAGACAGAGACAGAGATAGCATTTTGGAGAGTTTGCTTATGTATGGAGGTGGTGGGAGATAGATGTTAGAGACTCACAGACAACTTCCAAATTAGCAAAACCAGTCTCCCCAGTCCAGATCTGGGCCAAGTTCCCCAGACCTAGGGTGAGGTCACAGCCCAAGAGCCAGCGAAGGTAACTCCATATGACTCAACCCTCCCCTTCCTAGGCTCTTATCTCTGGAAGCCAGAACTTTCACCCACCCAAGCAGCCCAGTGATCTGCCCTCACTGCCCCTTCCCCACACCCACCTTGCTGGAGCCATAACAAGTATAGGGGCTGAGCCTAGCTGACTGATCTGCCCTCTACCCAGGAGGACCATGCGGCAGTAGCAGCCATGCTGCCCTTCCTGCTGGCCACACTGGGCACCACGGCCCTCAACAACAGCAACCCCAAGGACTACTGCTACAGTGCTCGCATCCGCAGCACTGTCCTTCAGGGCCTGCCCTTTGGGGGCGTCCCCACCGTGTTGGCTCTCGACTTCATGTGCTTCCTTGTGAGTGCCCATGCGCCACCCCCACCCTTGGCACCCACACTCTGTATGTAGCTGGCCAACACCTGCAGCTCTAACCACTCTCACCTGACCCTGACTCCACAGGCTTAACTGCTGATGGGATCCCCATCACCCAGCCCAAGCCTAGCCTCTGACCATTCACCCAAGCAAGGGCCTTCCCCTTCTACGGTGCCCAAGGTGTGACTTCTAACCAGCAGACCCACCATGTCCCTGAGGCCTTCCCCTTCTAAGACAAGATTCAGGCCCCTTTGCCCCTGCCCTCCTGGCTAGTCATGTGGGTAGGTGGTCTCTCCACCTGCCAACCACTCCCTCTTCCCTCAGGCATTGCTGTTCCTGTTCTCCATCCTCCGGAAGGTGGCCTGGGACTATGGGCGGCTGGCTTTGGTGACAGATGCAGACAGGTAAAGCTTTGGGACTCTTCCCCACCCCTATACACACACATACACATACACACATGCACGCACCTTCTTCCACACTCCTCAGGGGTAGGAAAGAGCCAGCCCTCTCTCATCCCTCTCTGTTGGGGGACGAAGAGAGACCAGTCCCAGAGCAGGCATGGAGGGTATGAGGGCCCGCAGTTGGGCCTTTGTCCCTTTCCAGTCTCCAGGGACCCTCCCCCACCCCTGCTAACTTTATCTGTTCTCTGTCCCCAGGCTTCGGCGGCAGGAGAGGGACCGAGTGGAACAGGAATAGTATGTGGGGCACCAGCCCCCTCATCCCCACTGAACCAGCTTTCCCCTTTCTTCATCTCTCATGCTTCTCTTCTCTTCCTGCCAAATTGCTGGTTTCTCTTTGCAGTTTTCTCCTCTGCAGGCTCATGTTTCGGATTAACGCAGGCGGTGTGCTTTGCAGAGCAGGGGCTCCCCAACTTGTCTCTACCTGACCTCCCCCCCTCCCCCCACATCTCTCCCTCTGGCTCTCTGCCTGGGAAAAGTCTCTCCCCGTGCACCTGGCCTTCATGGCCCTGGTTGGCTGGAGTGGAGGGGCCGTCCTCCCTGAAACTCACAGCACACTCACCCTGTTGGTCGCAGAGACAAGGTTGGGTGTCACCAGTGGCTTCCTGTTCCCTAACAGCTAGTTCTTCTTATTCCAGGGTTCTCTGCTCACTTTTTCAGGAGGCCTGGGAGGGGGGCTGCCCAAGGAGCCCCAAGTCTGGCCCTTTGTGTCACATCACGGTCTCTGTCTATAGGACTGGTGTCGGAGCTGCGGCAGCTGCTGGGGTCAGGGAAAAGGGCTGGTAGGGGCCCACCTGGGAGACACCTCCCAGCCCTCCTTACCCCCACTCTCTGGGGCTCTTCTAGTCCATCCTTTTTTTCACCTCCCTATTGCCCTGTGCATGATATTGGCTGGGTTGCCCCTTTCCCCCCTGCTGGTCGGCTCTGGAACTGCAGGGCCCGTTCACATTCTTACTTCAACCTCCAGGGGCGATGATGAAGACAACCTCTTCCCTCCGCCAGCACCTGGGTCTGTGCCCCCAGATTCCCCTGAAGGCAAGAGGCAGATTTAAGGAAGGCAGGGAGAGGGCAGTCATTCCTCTCAGCTTCAGCCGCTGCGCTTTCTGTGCCTTGTCTACCTCTGGAACTCTGGAGAGGGAGCCCATCCATTTCACCCCCACTCCCCAGGGACTCTGACTCACCAGGCTCTCTCATCTCTCATCTCCCCACCCCCAGTGTGGCCTCAGCTATGCACGGAGACAGTCATGACCGGTATGAGCGTCTCACATCTGTCTCCAGCTCCGTCGACTTTGACCAAAGAGACAATGTGAGTGCCCTCCCCAGACTTCTTAGCCACCCCACCCCTCCTCTAGAGCAGATGAACTCAGCAGCCTCTAACTTCCAGGGAGTTGGAGTCAGGTACCCATGGAGTGTGGCCTTCTCCTCAGCAAGGGCAGTGCTTGTCTAAGAACCACAGGGTGACCACCCATACCCAGAACCTCTGGCTCTGTCCTCCATGTCAGCCTCCAAACCAGCACTAGTCTAACATCCATGATTTCAAACTTCGTTCCACAGTATGGTTCTGCGCCTGCCTCTGTTGATTAATTCTAAAGACCCGTTTTTCCTTAGACATGGTCTTAGCAGTAATAACGAGCCTTCCATGCCACCTAGCAAAATATACAGAATCCATTGTGTTGTTCAGAGGTTGCAAGTTGGCAGCCCCTTGCTGGGCAGGTAGAGCAAGTTGACCAGCTTGTGAATTAGAGCTGAGTGACAGTGACCCCTATGGACAAGGCTTGTTTCCGGTGATTCACAGCAGTCCCCAGACCCCTTTCCCATCAGAACCAACACTCTGGTGTTCCCCGCTTGGCCCCCTGTCATTCTGCCAGGGTGAGATTCCTAGTTGGAACTCTAATCCTCAAGCCCTAGGATGGCCCTAGTCAGTCCAGCTTAGGCTCGGGCTCTCAAGGGTGGTAGCTCCTGTAGCAGCTGTAGCAGAAGAAGCCTATCAGCTTCCTGAGTTGGATTCATACTGGTAAGTGGCTAAGCAAAGTTATCACCCCTAGCACCCAGAGGTGTCCAGGTGGTCCTCAGACTCAGGTGATATTGACAACAGGTAGTATTGTCCCACATCTTGGCTGGAAGGCACCTCTCTCCCCCAGCTTGTGTTGAGCCTGGACCTTCTCCTGGTAGGGAGGTCATGAGGGTTCTCCCTGCCTAGCCCTCCCCAGCATATCCCCACCCTGCTCTGAGTGGGGTCTCTGTCTGAAGACGGGTCTGAAGGCTTGTGGGTCAGAGGTTGCAGCTCATAGCGACCCAGGGGTTTGGTCTCTCTGGGGTATACTAGAAGATAAGTGAGAGAAACTCAGGCAGTGTGGCCCGCCCCTCTGCTTTTGGCAGCCATGTTGCAAACTCTTCTTATTAGCTACAGGTCTGGAGGTCCCCACTCCTCTTCCTAGAACCCTGAATCCCACCCATCTCCATCCTGGGACACACAACTGCAGGACCTCTGGTTCTCCTGCCCTGTTGGGTATTTGTGGAGATCTGTAGCTCTGGGCACGAGAGCACACAGATAAGCCACTTTGGCCTTGGTTCTTTTCTTCTTCGAGGGCTGGCACCTTCCCTTTCCCCCTCTCTGGGGTGAGTTAGTTTTTTTAGGGGATTGTGGAAGCTGCACCAGGGTGAGCCAAACCCGGGGTGATTATAAGAATTGGGTGGGTGGGACTTGAGGGGAAGGGAGGTTCAGGGTGGTGAGCTGGGGGCTCCAGCTGATAGCTCTCTGTCCCCCCAGGGTTTCTGTTCCTGGCTGACAGCCATCTTCAGGATAAAGTAAGTGAATGGTCTTCAGGTCCTAAAGAAAGGAAGAAACAGAGAAACTTCAGAACCCGTCATCTCCCCACAAAAGCTGAGGCCAGCAGCTTTGAGGGCCCTAGCGCTCCTAGCCAGCCCAACACTCTCCTCCCTACTCCAGGAGCCCAGGTCCTGGGGCTCTGGCCTCTGCCGTCCTCTGAGCTGGCCTCGCTTTACTCCCCGACGGTCTCCTGTGTGCCCCCTGCCTGGAGGGCCCACTCTTCTCACAACTCTCCCTGCCCCTGCCACCCTGTGAGAGCAGGGGCTGGAGCCCCCACCTCAGAGCCTCCATGCAGCCAGCAGGTGGGGGCAGCAGGCAGGCTAGGAGCAGCCAGCCAGCAGCAGGCAGGAGCCAGTATCCAGCAGGCAGAAGTCAGGAGATCGGGCCACAGTGCGGCAGGCAGGCAGTGAGCACTGAGAGAGGCAGGAAGCCGGACAGGTCAGCACCACCACTGCCACTGGCCCCCCCAAATCCCCCCGCCAAGTGTATCGTGTACTGTGCTGCAGCAGCACCCATAAGGTGCCATTGCTGCCTGAACCCCTGTCTTCTAGTCCCCATCCAGTCTCCTGCTTCTGACTCTTCCTGTCACCATTCCTCCTCCTCTTGCCTCATCTTCCCTTTGCCCACCTTTTTCTTCTTTCTCTTTTCTCTCTACATTTGTCTTCTCTCTCTGCAGTCTCCCTTCTCTTATTCCTCCCTCCCTCCTTCCTAACTTCCTTCCTGTTCCTCTCTGTTATTCCTCTCCTTCTCTATTCTTCCCCTTTTCCTCCCTTTCTCCCTGCATCCTTCTTTTTCTCCTTCCCCTTTTCTCTCCCTCTCTTCCCTCTCTCTTCCCAGAAAATAGGGGATCCAGAGACCTCATTTCAACCCCACACTGCTGCCAGATCGGCAAGGGCTAGGGTGGATGTGGGTGGGGGTGGGCAAGGACAGGCAAGTCATGGCCCCTCTGTTACTGTGGTCTTCACTTAATTCCTCTCTCCTGCCACACCACAGAGATGATGAGATCCGGGACAAGTGTGGGGGTGACGCCGTGCACTACCTGTCCTTCCAGCGGCACATCATCGGGCTGCTGGTTGTCGTGGGTGTCCTCTCCGTAGGCATTGTGCTGCCTGTCAACTTCTCAGGGGACCTGCTGGGTCAGTGAGGGCCAGGATAGGTGGGGTGGACAAGGGGGCAGGAGGGGACAGGCCCTGACCCCACCACTGTCTTCTCCCTTTTCCCACCCCCCAGAGAACAATGCGTACAGCTTCGGGAGAACCACCATCGCCAACTTGAAATCAGGGTAAGTTTGGGAACCTGGTCAGTGAGTCCAGGGTCTGTGCTAGAGTCCAGGCCCTGATGAGGAGTAGAGGAAAGGGGACAGGTGGCTGAGGCTGCAGAGATGGCCATGTGGTCATGAGGGCTTGGGATGGAGACAAAGGAGGTAGATCCCTGCTGTGGATCACCAGGAATGATCAGATGAGAGAAGGGTGCAGCCTCGGGCAGGCCAGACTGGGGCAGGTGGAGGGTAGTGTAGCCAGCAGGTAGGGCATGAAGAGATGATCTCGAGACATTTCAGTTGAAATAGAACAGGGTTAGGGTCTAGAGCAGAAGTCCCCAACCATTTTGGCACCAGGGACCGGTGCAGTAAGAATCTAATGACCTGAGGTGGGGCTAAGGTGGTGAGAGTAGCGCTGGGGAGTGACTGCAAATACAAATGAAGCTTTGCTTGCTCGCCAGCCACTCATCCGCTATATGGCCTGGTACCAGACTGTGGCCCGAGGGTGGGTCGAGAGGATGTGGAGTGTGGGGCCTGCCCTGTGGGGTGTCAGAGCCAGAAGACAGGTGGCAGTAGAGGCCCTGGATCAAGGTTTAATTAGCACTAAGAGATTGGGTGTGGGGGTGTCTTGAGTGTTTTCCTAGCCCTGGTAGCCTCCATATCCTCTGCTCTGCCCAGGAACAACCTGCTATGGCTGCACACCTCCTTCGCCTTCCTGTACCTGCTGCTCACCGTCTATAGCATGCGTAGACACACCTCCAAGATGCGCTACAAGGAGGACGACCTGGTGAGTGTAGCAGAGCCCAGGTCTGTCCTATCCCCAGCCTCTTCCCTTCCCTCCAGGCCTTTCTTGCCTCAGCCGTAAAGAGTGTTGGCCCCAGGGTTAGTCCAGCTGGGTTTGAATCCTGACTCAGCAGCTCAGGAGTCAATTACCTCCCCAAGCCTCGGTGTCCTTGTCTGTCAAATGAGATAATAGCAGTACCGCTCCCATGGTTGGTGAGAAGGTGAAGTGAGGCGGAGCGTGGAAAGCACCTCGTGCTGTGCCTGGCACTCAGCAAATAGTGGTTGATGGATATGATAGTGAAATTCCTTCCCCTTCTACATTTATTTTCTAAACTAGTAGTAAAGACCCACTCCATGGCAACCACTGTCCTGGGTCCTCATTGCCTGAGGATCAGAGACTAGTACCCTAGTCTCCTCCCCCCACCTCAGACCCCTCAAGGAGCAAGGGGCCAGATGGGTCTTTCATTAGGCTCACTGCCTGATTCCTATTAGCAATTCTCTGGGACCCAGCTTATCCCTAAGTCTCCTTCTACCTCATCTGCTCCTCTCTGCTCGCCCATTCCCCACCCCTTCCCTGCATCCTCGTGCCCCTCTCACCTGCCTCTCTCCCCAGGTGAAGCGAACACTCTTCATCAATGGAATCTCCAAATACGCAGAGTCAGAAAAGATCAAGAAGCATTTTGAGTGAGTAGCCACTCCTATCCCCAACCCCGGGCCCTGCAGACCCTTCTTTGCCTTTCAACTCCCAAGATCCTCTTCACACACCTCTCACTTGGAGGTCTGGGCTGCAATGGAAGTGAAGGTTAGACGAAAGAATTCTGAGTCCAGGATGGTCTAGCGTTTGGGCTGGGTGACAGGTCCCTCTAAGAACACAAGAGAAATACTTGAGAACAGATTCCTAAAAAGTGAGTCCAGTCTGTACCACATACCCCGCTCCCTCTTCTCCAGCTTGAACTGGGTCAAAGGTTGTTGCCCCAGGGTCCATGGTGAGTAGCTTCTTCGAAATTATATGTGACATTCTGGAATTTGTGTGCAGACTGTCAGGGAGAAGCTCCATGGCTTTCAATGGATCATTAAGGAGCCGAGGAGAACCTGGGCTGTGTGTTCTGAGTTTCTTTCCAACTCTGGAAGTCTGTCTTAGTGGGGAGGGGAATATACATCTCCAGAGTGCCAGGTGGCTGGGATGAGGGATCCTAGCATACATTCTAGGATCTGTACCACATACCCCGCTCCCTCTGCTCACCCAGCAGAGTTAGGGAATATCCAGTATGCAAACTCTGGAAGCCTATGTGGTGGGGTCCAAGCGATCAGAGATTAGTCAGGTGACATTCATCTGTCCACTCAGCAGACTTTCTCAAATGCTATTAGGCATAAGTTAACTATGGTGGATCTTGGAACTATAAAGGCAAATTAAAGATCATCGAACTCTCAGGGAGTTCACAGTACGGAGGTCACCTTTAGGGGCCAGTGGAGGGTCTGATCAGAGATTGGTCTGAGGTCATTCTGTGTCAAAAGAAGGAGTTGGCCAATGGTCTTGATAAGGGACATTGGTGTTCTGGATCAGGGCTCGGCCTCTGGTCAGGATCAGGATTTTCTGAGGTCTAAATCTACTGTAAGTTGGCCTGGATCAGAGGTCAGGCTTTGTTCTGGATCAGGACAACATTGAGAGTGTCTGGTCAGGATCAGATTCCAGACTCCTGTGTTATAGGAAAATGACTGGCTTGTGATCAGTATTAGTGGATGGATATTTATTCATTCAACATTTATTAGTCACTTTCTATTCCCCAGGCATGAATAAATGAGAAACAGGCCCTGCCCTCATACAATTTATAGAACAGCAGTCAAAATTAGATCAAAATTGGTCAGTATTAGAGAACAACTTAGGGTCCTATCTGAAGTTCAAGCTGCGATCAGCATTAGTGGGCAGTCTGGGTCAGGATTAAAGACAGTGTGCTTAGAATTAGGTGACATCTTAATATTACTGTCCAGTTGGAATCAGCTGTCAATTTGTACTGACCAGTCCTTTAATAATAAATATCTATTGAGTACCTACTATGTTGATGCACTGGAGTGGGAGCTAGGGAAATAGCAGTAAACAGAAGAAAAAATCCCATGTCTCATCTGCTTACATTCTAGTGGGCTGAGGCCAACAATAAACAAATGAACTAGTTCAAGACACTGTGTCAAGTAAGGATAGATGCTAAGAAGACAGACAAAGCAGGGAGAGGGATGGAGTGAAGGAAGGGTGTTTGGATGAGGTGGGCCGGGATATTCTGACAGGATGACGTTTGAGCTGCATGCCCTGGGGGAGTGAACCCTACTAGTCAAGCATCCATTCATTCAGCATACATTTGTTGTACACCTATGTGCACCATACCAAGGAGACAAAGAAGAACCAGACTTGATGGCTGTCCGTGGGGAGCTCACAGTCCAAGTTGTCTGTTTCAGGGGGTCAGTCTATGGTTTTGTTTAGGAAACAGTCTGTGGTTAAAATTAGTGGTTAGCCTATAAGCAGGAGTCGGGGAGACTGTGGTCCTAATTGGAGTTTTTGGGATCAGTGGGGTAAACATTATGGAACAGCCATTTCTTTGACCCGATCATACAGCACATGTTTATTGAGTACCTACTGTGTATAAGCTGTTGGCTCAGGCCTGGGTATATGATGATGCACAAAAAGCAGCCTTGTCCTCATGGGGCTCTTGGGATTGGTGACAGTATGAGCAGGGCTTATGGCCCAGGTCTGGAGTCTGTCTGCATTGGAGGACTCACCCAGCAGAGTTAGGGAATATCCAGTATGCAAACTCTGGAAGCCTATGTGGTGGGGTCCAAGCAATCAGAGATTAGTCAGGTGAGATTGAGGGCTCAGCTAGCCACAGAGGTGAGGCCCTTCCAAAGAGGAATCCTAAAATGATTTGAGCAACAACAGTGTCACGGCAAAGGTCTGTAGTCTCCTAAAAAAGTGTTATTTCAAGGACCTCATCTCAGATTTCAGTTTCCAAATTCTCATGGGTTTGTCCAGTCTGTCTTGTTACTTTAGAATGATATCTTGTGCATCTTTAACACTTAGTGGTCCTTCATTAAAATTTTTTTAAAGACGGGGCTGAGTCTAGATTAGGGATTAGGATCAAGGAGCAAGTGCATGATCAGAATGAAAAAGGAAGTGCTCCTGCACTGAGTTAGCAGGTGTCCCTCAGGTACTGGGCATCAGGAAAGGTCTATCTCTGGTCAGTCTTAAGTCAAGGTTGGGGTGAATTGGGGGTCAGGGTTAGAGAATCAGTCTTGTGTCCGGGTTATGGGTCAGTTTGGATCAGGGTAAAGGATCTGGCTCTGTCCAAGGTTAGAGGTCAATCTCAAGTCAGGGTTCAAGATTGATATTTGGTTGGTCTTGGGGCAGGGGTCATTCTGTGGACTGGGCTGTGGATTATTTGGAGTCAGTCCGTGGTGGACTGTACAGTGTGGGACTATACCCAGATCTAGGAACAAGGTAAAGGAAACAACCCATAACTAGAAACAGTTTCTCTCAACTTAAAGTCCACAGCCCTGGACAAGAATCAGACCACAGTCATGGCTTGCCTGGCACCATGCCGTGTGCACCCACATCCTGGGTCATCAGCCCTACACTATACTCCCACAGTCCCCCATGCCTCTCTGCACATACTCCCCCCACTCAGATAAGCATGAAGAGGAATTTCAAAATTTTATTCAACGGTAACTCTCATTTTTGTAGACTAAGAAGGAGCTTGAATTGGGGTGGAGGCGGGGTGCGTGTCCTGAAGTTGATGGGGTCATGCATGAAAGTCAGGAGCAGAAGGGCAGAGTCCCTGCAGAAAATGATGGTGGGCTGTGTTTCAGGGAGGCCTACCCCAACTGCACGGTTCTGGAAGCCCGCCCATGTTACAATGTGGCTCGTCTTATGTTCCTCGATGCAGAGAGGTAATGGGGCTGGGAAATGGAGGTGGGGGGTGACACCTGAGAGCCCCCTGCCCATTAGGGCATCTTGGTTGTCACAGAGGAGCCTGGCTTCCCTTCCAGGTGTTTCCCAAGGCGTTTGATTTTAATTCAATCCCTAGAATGCCTAACCATTCACTTCTGGAGAAAGCAAGACCTGGAGATTAGAATAGGTTGCAAGAGGAGAGGAGCCCACTGTCCTCATCTCATCTGAGGACAGACACTTCTTCAGCTATAGTATGAGAAGTTGAGGCCAGATTATAGGAAGAATTTCTGGCCCTCAAAAGATGGGTAGAGAGACCCTGGGATGGGAATGTGTCTGAACCATGTATCCTAAACAAACCCAAGAGCAAAATAGCTCCTATCTTTGACTAGATGACCCCTGAGCTGGGCTTCCTGCCCATCCTCACAGCTAGCCTCAGCCCCAGCCAGGCAGTGGATGACTGGGCACCTGGGTCCTACAGGAAGAAGGCCGAGCGGGGAAAGTTGTATTTCACAAACCTCCAGAGCAAGGAGAATATCTCCACCATGATCAACCCCAAGCCCTGTGGCCACCTCTGCTGCTGCGTGGTTCGAGGCTGTGAGCAGGTATGAGGTGGGCTGGCCGCGGGGCGTGCCCACCCTTGGCTCAGACCTCAGGGCCCAGGAGCTCCTGATGGAGGGGCTAGAAGATCCTGGGGAGACAGGTCACAGCAGAAATGGAAGCTCCTCACTGTGCATGTACCACAACCCCATGAACACACACAAATAGGCCTGCACATAAAACCCAAAAATAAACAAACCATGGAGGAGGCAAAGCCAGGGCTGGAGCCAGGGCTGGGGGCAGGGTACAGCCCCTCTGTCAGCAGGTCCCTACCTGTTCCTACAGTCCTTTAAGCCCTATTCCCATTTTTGGGTTGTCCTCTGTCCCCACAGTGACCAAACTTTCAAACCCCAAATCAGTGTTATACTATATTTACTGGCTCTGTGGCTTTAGGCAAGTTACTTGACTGCTCTGTGCCTCAGTTTCCTCATCTGTAAGATAGAGCTAATTATACTTCCCTCATAGGATTCTTGTGAGAGACACAGGAAGCTTAAAGCACTACCTGGCCTGTAGGAAGTTCTGGGTCAGTATTGGCTGGTGCTGCGGGCACCAACCCAGCTCTCAGCCCAGAGCCTGCCTTGCCCTCCCTGGTAGGTAGAGGCCATCGAGTACTACACGAAGCTGGAGCAGAAGCTGAAGGAGGACTACAAGCGGGAGAAAGAGAAGGTGAACGAGAAGCCTCTTGGCATGGCCTTTGTCACCTTCCACAATGAGACCATCACCGCCATGTGAGCCCCCGCCCGGCCTGGGCACCCTGGCCCTGGTCCCCCAGTGACCCGCTGGGACTCTTGGGTCCCTGTGTTCATGGCCAGCTATCAACAGTGGGGTCCCCAGCGCCTGGTGCTGCAGTAAACAGTGTCTCTTATCCCCAGCATCCTGAAGGACTTCAACGTGTGTAAGTGCCAGGGCTGCACTTGCCGTGGGGAGCCACGCTCCTCGTCCTGCAGTGAGTCCCTACACATCTCCAACTGGACCGTGTCCTACGCCCCCGACCCCCAGAACATCTACTGGTGAGTAAAGGGATATGGCAGGGGCAGGCTTCAGTGGGTAGGGTGGATGGCAGGGAGTTCCTGATGTCACCAGGGACCAATCGGGTGTCCAGTCCCAGAAGTGACTGCCTCCCCTGCCTTCCCAGGGAGCACCTCTCCATCCGCGGCTTCATCTGGTGGCTGCGCTGCCTGGTCATCAACGTCGTCCTCTTCATCCTCCTCTTCTTCCTCACCACCCCGGCCATCATCATCACCACCATGGACAAGTTCAACGTCACCAAGCCCGTAGAGTACCTCAACGTGAGGCCACACCCCACCCCACCCTTCTAGACTGTGTCACAAGGGTTGTCCTGGCCCAGATCCCTCCTGGGGATGGGGGAAACCAGAATGCCTTCTACCTAGTCCGGCTCCTCTACTGCCTTTCCCATCCAGCCCCACCAGAAAGCGCCCACAGGACCATGAGCCGCAAAGCCCTCTGTGTACTTCCCTTGGCTCCCTGCCACCTTCCCACAGGAGCAGCCACCTTTGGGTGTGCACACACCTAGAGAGACACCCACAGAGAGAGCCCAGTTCCTAACTGGCCGTGTGACATGGAATAAGTCCCTCCTTCACATCCCTCATTCTCCCCAACAGAAGAATGGAAGGTTCAGACTTGATCGTTGTCTTCCAAACTTAGAGTCTGATGCCTTTATCAAAAGGATTGTTACATGAAACCCAGTGTGGAAAAGCAAGGCTGCTCAGATGGCAGCAAAGCAGGGGCCTGGTCTCCCCTCACCCCTCTAACCATGTACACCTGGTCTCCCCTCACCCCTCTAACCATGTACACAGCGTACCTCCTTGGAGCCTCAAAATTCAAAGAAAGATTGAAAATCACTGTGTGATAATAGCATAACAGATAAGACTTAAACTGCCTGGGTTCAGATCTACACCCCACTGCTTACTAACTGGGTTAATTATTGAATCACTTTTTTTTGCCTCAGTTTGCTCATCTGTAAAATGGGGTAATATTGTTGTGAGGCTAAATACATGTAAAGTACATGATCAGTGCTTGGCACGTAGTAGGGACTTAGTAAATGCTAAGTAATATTATTCACTCTGGGGTTGTACATGTGGCCCTGGCCCTCACCTTCAGCCTTTGCCCTCACATGTTCTGGACTTATGACATGGGGCCCTGAGAACTGTGAGGCCCAGGCTCAGTGCGGGAGGAGGCAGGTAAGCAAAGCAAGCTGAGCCCACTAGACTGCCCCTGCCTGACACATCCCCCTGTGCCCCCTGCAGAACCCAATCATCACCCAGTTCTTCCCTACCCTGCTGCTGTGGTGCTTCTCGGCCCTGCTCCCCACCATCGTCTACTACTCTGCCTTCTTTGAAGCTCACTGGACACGGTGAGACACCTTCACATACATAGCACCCCGCCCTGGCCCCCTAGGGGCACCCATGCCATTGGGCAGCCCTTTGCCATTCAGACTCCCTGCCCTGGTGGTCCCAGAGCTGGCAGGGAAGGGATGATGCCTCATCCTAACCTCGGGAAGCCCCCCCTTTTTCAGGGGACCCTCCTAGGATACTGTATTGACTGGGGGGCAGAATGGGGGCTGGCCCGCCTCACCTCTGCCCCTGTGCCCCTCCCCCAGCTCCGGAGAGAACAGGACCACCATGCACAAGTGCTACACCTTCCTCATCTTCATGGTGCTGCTCCTGCCCTCGCTGGGACTGAGCAGGTAGGTTTTCAGAGGAAGGGATGAGAACTGGGAGCTGAGGAGTGGGTAGCAGGATGGGGAGAGGGAGCAGTTCAGGCTCCCACCTCCCCTGCCAAAGCCAAGGGCCCCATGTCTGGGGGGCATCCCCAGGGGCTCTTGGCAGGGACTCTCCCTCCCCATTCCAGCCCCCCACCACACCTCTCCTCTCCAGCCTGGACCTCTTCTTCCGCTGGCTCTTTGACAAGAAATTCTTGGCTGAGGCAGCTATTCGGTTTGAGTGAGTGACCGGGGCCCCTGGGGAATGAGACTGGATGGTGGGGGTGGGTATGCCTGACAGACACTTCCTTCTCCATGGGAGGGAGCAGCAAAGCTCCCCACCCCCACTGTGGGGAGAAAGAGGGGCTGACATCACAGAGTGGTAGGACCATTCCAAAGGACTCACAGGGTGTGTCTCAGGTATATATCTGGGAGATATTCCTGGGGTCTGTGTTGGAGCTCACACTCTGGGAACCTCTCTGCATTCTACAGTCACCCTCAAGGTGTATTTGGGGCCCCCACTTGGGAGGTTTCTATGTGGGCTCTGGGTGCATATTCTGGGGTAAACTTCACTCGGGAGATTTGGAGAGCTGTCTGTAGTGGGATCTTGGTCATACTGTGGAAGTGACTTGGGAGTTCCTAGAAGTATCCCTGAGGGTCTCTGGAGCCCACACTTTTGAGTGTCTGTGGGGGGCTCTGGGGCTCACACTTTGGGGTGCTTATGGAGCGCAAGTTCTGAGAACACCTCTGAAGTTTCAGGCTCCTATTCATAGGTGTGATGAGTTCTTTCTGGGATACCTTCTTTCTCTGGGGATCCCTGTGAGGGTGTCTTAGTGGGCACATACCATGGCTGTTCAAGTGGGTGCAAGCTCTAGGATTCTTCCTCTGGGCCATATGCGGTAATCTTGGGATCACGCTTGGAGTGTCGCAAGCATTGACAAAGGTCTCCCACCTCTGAAGTCTCTGGGGGAGGGTCCTGGGCTTTTGTTCCGGAGATGACTGAGGCTTGTACTCTGGGGTAACTCTGGGTTAAGTTAAGGTCTAAGGGAGCCTTCTAGGTATTCCTGGGGCTCACACCGTTGGGGGTCTTGGGGGTCTCACAGGATTATCTATGGAGACCTCAGGCAGTCATACCCTGCACACTGGTGGCCTTAGGGGTCTCAAGCACTCTCTCCATGAGTCTTTATGGGTCACAAGTTCTCAGGGTACCTCTGGGCTCACACTCTCAGGTGTTTTCCACGAACACTGAGAGTGTTGGAGGTGGCTGCTGACACTCTCGTGTCTGCCTCTGGGGCTCACATTCTGAGGGGACTAGGGCACAGGTGCTTGAGGGCCGAGCTAGAGACACATGAGTGTGTCCAAAAGGCATGTTGGGGGTGAAGGTGTGGTGCGCTGTAATGCTGGCAGTGGGCAGGTAGCCACCAGGTCCCCCATGGGTGCAATGCTGGAGCACCTGGTGCCCGCAGGTGCGTGTTCCTGCCCGACAACGGCGCCTTCTTCGTGAACTACGTCATTGCCTCAGCCTTTATCGGCAACGCCATGGACCTGCTGCGCATCCCAGGCCTGCTCATGTACATGATCCGGCTCTGCCTGGCGCGCTCCGCCGCCGAGAGGCGCAACGTGAAGCGGGTACGGCCGCCTGGGCCGCAGCGGTCCGCACAGCGCCCTCTGGTGGGACCAACCAGAAACAGCGGCAGCGTGCTAGGGTGTGGGGCACGAGGGTACTGGGACTTGGGGAGCCCAGTTCCGTGGCCCTGGTCTAGCCCTTTCCCATTAGTTTTCCCATATGCGCAGCGATGAATCGACATAGATAACACCGAAGGCCCTGGCCAGTTCTGACAGTCTAGTATTTGTGATGGGAGTTGGGGGAGGTCCAGGTCCCTACACCTAGGGTCCCTGGGCCCTAACCCCACACAAGGGCTCTGGGCATCCCATTCCCAAGCCCACCTCCTGCCAGCCCCTGATCCCTCGGAGGCCCCTCTCTATGCCCCATCATTATCCATCCTGACCACCTTCTCAGCCTTGGCCCCTCTCTCCATCTGCTTTGCCCTGCACTACCCTGGTCATGGGCTTCCTTTTCTCCTTGGCTTCTTTCCTGGCTCCCTCTCCCCTCCCGCCTGCCCTGTGCCCCTCCAGTATGTCCCTCCCTTTCCTGAGCCACCCTCCTGCCCATCTCCCCCCCAGCATCAGGCCTACGAGTTCCAGTTTGGCGCAGCCTACGCCTGGATGATGTGCGTCTTCACGGTGGTCATGACCTACAGTATCACCTGCCCCATCATCGTGCCCTTCGGTAGGCACCGCCGCGCCGGGACCTGGGCCCTGCTCGGGGGGACCCAGGACCTCACCTGCTCCACTCTAGTAAGGCAGGCCACCCCGAGTGGACAGGGCCCCGGCTGGGAGACCGGCCCCTCGAGCCTCCCGCCCGGTTCCTGGCTCAGTCTGGGGTCCGGCCTTGCGGGGAGGAGGGGAAAAGCCATCCCAGCTCAGGCCGGACCCAGCTGGTGTGCTGGACCCCTGGGCAAAGTTACACCAACATGGCCATACTCGCCAATACCAGTGCTTTCACTCAACTGGATATACTGGGACACAATCACATACCCACTAAGGTATTCACACACATACTTCTACACAGGATTCATGGGCACACTTGTACACAGCCCTGTAAACACAAGAAGGACCTTTGGATTCCAGGGTGGGGTTGGGTCCTTGCTACTCATGGAGATGCCCTGCTATGACTGAGCTGGGTGACTTGGGCAAGTCCCTCTTTCTTCTAAAATTTAGCAGTTTCTCTTCAATGAATACCCCCACTAGTGGCCTCTACATTCCCCTTGATAACATCCCAACCCCTTAACCACTCTCCCTGGTTGTCGAAGGCTCCAAACTAACCTCTTTGTCCTCATTAGAAAGCTCTCATTCCCTCAGCCTCCAGGAAAATAGAACTTACTACCTAATTCATACTCATCTATTTGGAAACAGGGATAGAAAAAGTGGTATGGGTTTTAAAAGGACGCTCATTGACCCAAATGAATAGATTTCTATTCTAGTGAGGGGCTGCAGAATCAAGGGGTTGAAGCAGAGGAAGCTGAGGTTCTCTGGTCCTGCTGAGGGCTTAGGCCACTATCCTGAATGGGGTTGGGGCAGGGTAATGGGGGCCAGCCCTTCAGTGACCTCGGAAGGACCAGACAGCCTGTGACAGACACACACAGAGGTCTGGCGGCACTGGTTTTGAGGTCAGAGCCCATGTGGCTTCCTCCAGGGCTCATGTACATGCTGCTGAAGCACCTGGTAGACAGGTATAATCTCTACTACGCCTACCTGCCGGCCAAGCTGGACAAGAAGATCCACTCCGGGGCTGTGAACCAGGTGGTAGCCGCGCCAATCCTCTGCCTCTTCTGGCTGCTCTTCTTCTCCACCATGCGCACGGGTGAGGGCCTCCCTCGGAGCTGGGGTGGGGCAGGGGAGACTCCCTCCAGAGTCAAAGCAGAGCAGGCCCCTGGAGGTCCATGATGGCTGGGGGCTGCAGACAAGGGGCCTGGGAAAAGCTGCAGCACGTGGGAGTGTGGGACTGCATTCAGAAGGTAGCAAAGTGGGGTGGTGGGCCCCTAAGAGGGAAGCCTGGAGGAGAGGTAGCAACCCCATTCTTTGTCCCCCCACCCCATACCAGGGTTCCTAGCCCCCACGTCCATGTTCACATTCGTGGTCCTGGTCATCACCATTGTCATCTGTCTCTGCCACGTCTGCTTCGGACACTTCAAATACCTCAGTGCCCACAACTACAAGGTGTGGGGCAAGGGGGGCGGGGGACACGGGAATGATTGGGATCTGTGGGCAGGGGCAACGTGTGCCAAAGGGTGTGGGGTCATAATTGCAGCTGAGGGTAAGGGCATTTCCCCCACTTCCTGACTCATTCTGGGCTCCTCAAGATTGAGCACACGGAGACAGATGCTGTGGACCCCAGAAGCAATGGACGGCCCCCCACTGCTGCTGCTGTCCCTAAATCTGCGGTGAGTGCCCCACTCCATGGCTAAGGGTGGGGAGGGGCCTCCGAGACTTAGCTCCAAAGCTGGGTGTCCCATTATCCTCCAGAAGGAGAAGTCTGTTCCAGACCCCACAGACTGGAGAACAGGAACAGGGAGGAACCTAGCTTCACCCGGGGCTGCCCGCTTCCCCTGGGCGGAGGATACCGCCCCTCCCCCTGTAGGCCCGGCGACTCCCTATCACCCCCTCCCCAGGAGGGTCAGCTGCTCACTCTCACGCCCCACTCTTCTACCCTTTCAGAAATACATCGCTCAGGTGCTGCAGGACTCAGAGGTGGACGGGGATGGGGATGGGGGTCCTGGGAGCTCGGGGGACGAGCCCCCGTCATCCTCGTCCCAAGATGAGGAGCTGCTGATGCCGCCTGGTGGCCTCACGGACACAGACTTCCAGTCTTGCGAGGACAGCCTCATAGAGAATGAAATTCACCAGTAAGGGGAGGGAGGGGCCCTGGAGGCCACGCCCTGCCCCACCCTACCTGCCCCCTACGGACACTAAAAAAAAAACGCTAATAATTTATTAGATCTAAAGCCCTTCCTCCCCATCCCCTGCTTTCATTAAGGTATTTAAACCTGGGGGTTTTGCCACTCTTCCCCACCCCATGGAGGGAGGGAGGGAGCCCCCCAACCTCAGTGAGGAGAGCCCCGAGCCGGCCCGGGGCAACAGGCTGTGGACACAGTTCCCCCAGATCAGTGCCCCCCAAGCTAGTAGCTAGTCAGGAAAGGGTTAATGAAAGCCAAGAGGGGTACCTGGTGCCATGGCTGGAGACCTGGGGGAGCAGGTGAATCAGGGCAGCCCCCCCAGTTCTCTCCTCCCCCCAAGTCTCCCTGGGATCTGGCACTCCAGGGAAGTGGAGCCTCCAGCCCCTACGGGTTGCATGAGAGGGGAAGGGGTACTGAGTGGGAGAAAGAGTCAGGCCTGAGCCAGGGGGGTGACCTGGGGTGGGGGGTGGCTGACACTGGAAAATGGGTTTTTGCACTGTTTTTTTGTTTTGTTTTTTTTTTTCCTTTAAAATAAAAATGAAAAGAAAAGCTCTGAGGCAGATATCTGATTGGTGCTACTGCCCTGGACACACAGGTGGGGTCCAGCCACTTTTCTGTGGGTCTGCAGGACCTGTGCAGATTGCCTACATGACCCCGGGCGGGAAACTGAAGGAGGATCTCTGGGGAGAGGCCTGCTGTGCTCACACTGCCCCCGCCCACTTACTCCACTACCTTCCCCTGCGTCTGCTGCCTCTGCTGCCTCTGCCTCCACCCCCTGCCCTAAGGAAATTATGGGACCACTCAGACTTAGGGACAGAGACACAGGGCCACACTCTGAATCCCTGGGAGCCACACACACAAACAGGACAGAAATTCAGGGAAGAAAGACCATGGAAAGCCAGATTCCACACTGGCCCTCGAAAGCTTCCTGAAGGAGGACAGGTGCCAGGACAGCTGCTTCCAGAAAGGGACTCGGTGGGCTGCTCTGAAGGGGGAAGAGGCAAGAACATGGGGCCACAGTGGTCGACCAGATTCTATTATCATCATTTGTTTTTATTGTTGCTACAGTTTATCAAGTGGTTATTATGTGCCTGGAATTATGCTAAATGACTGAATTAAATGCTTTAATGCATTTACTCAGCTTGCTGGGGTCAGGCGTGAGTTTGCTGTGAGGATTACACGAGATGATTTATGACAAGTGTTCACTTGGCCCAGTACCTAGTACATGGTCAGCACCCAATAAACATCGATTATAATGAATACTATGATCATTAACAGTTGCTACAAAGCAAGTATGATTTTCTTTTTTTTTGTGTGTGTGGATGAAGACTGGCTCAGAGAAGGTATGGGATTTGCCTGGGAGGGATCCTGAAAGGTCCTGCTGAGTATCTCAGTGAGCTGGTCCCCAGCCCTTCTGTCCCTTTCCATTTCATGAATGTCCAAGGCCTACCCACCTTCCAGTCAAATCTTATCCATCCTCTAAGACCCAACTCAAACTCATCTCTAAGAAATCTCCTGTGACTGATCTAGCCCACCCTCCAGAGGCACACAGAGGCCCACAGAACCACGTGGTCACCCCCTTTTCCCACCACACACACTGAGTATATACTATGTGTGCAGCAGAAGCTAGGAGATCAGGACCCCAAGCCTGGTTCTGTCACTAACTCTCTGTGTAACCCCAGGAAAGTTACCTCCTGGGTTTATTTCCTACCAATAAAATCAAGCAGTGTGCCCAGGTGACCCTAAGGCCCTGGGGCATCTTCCTTCCCACCATCCATTCACCACCCACCAGCAAGACCCAGAAAAGCGAGAAAGTGAGTCAAGGGTCTCCCAGAGGGGAGAAGAGAGCTCAGAGGAGGAGAAACAGGTATCACAGAGGCCTGCAGTCTGTCAACTAGTAACAACCAACAGTGGGGACAGCAAACACAGCATAAAGCCTGACAAGGATTGCCCCCTGGACACCGGTAAGGGGCAGGAAGCAAACTGTCCTGGGGGGAGAGATGCTACCTGCAGAACACAGCTTAGAAAGCCAGTGTTTCCTGGTGGTTGACTGTGGGCAGAGAGTGAGCCAAATACAGTGGAGATAAAGGCCAGGGTGGATCAGCTCTGTGGACTTGTAAAATGTGGAGCCCCAAAGTCCCAGGGCTGTAGGAGCTGCTAGGCCAAGAGCAGGCGAAAGGCAGAGGGTAGTTGGCAGAGTGCCAGCCAGCGGGTGGGCAGAAATTTGCTGTGTTTCAGGCAGGGAGCTCACACAGCAGGCTCCTGAGACCATGAACAGCAGTCTCATTCTTGATCTATCAAACCCTTTTGAGCACCTACCGTGTGCCAGACCCTGAGCTGGGTGCTGGTGACACAGTGAGGATCAAGGCTGCCTCCTAGGCACCCACAGCCCAATGGGCAGGAACAGACGGGAATCCAAACACTTGCCAGGTTCAGTGCTGTTCTTAGCACTTTTCCAAATTAACTAATCGCATCCTCACAGGAGTCTTGTCCCAAACTCGTAGATACGGAACCTGAGGCATGCAGCAGTGAGGTCCTTTACCCCAGCTAACATAACTTGTATGCAGTGGAGTAGGACAAGCGTGAAAAAGTCTTAGGATGTTATGGGAGCCTAAAGGACATCTTGCCTCATTCAAACTTCTTACTGTTTAGCTGAGAAAATTGACATCCAAAGAGGAGGAGTGACAAGGACCCACAATCCTTCCCCGGGTCACTGAGTTAAACCACAGTCATTCCCATTACCTGCCCTGAGGCTGAGAATGGGGGTAGGGCAGTGAGGTGACCCCTCATCAGCTTAGACAGAAAAGTCCAGAAGGCCAAGTGAGGCCGAGGAACTGGGGTGAGGGGCACAGAATGAAGGGAGTGAGTGTCTCAGGTAAGGACTGGCTGGCTTGTTCGCGGAGGCTGAGGGAAATGTCCTGGAGCCCCAGGGGCCCAGGGTCGGCCTCTGAAGGTCCCATGGGCTCCAGATCAGTTCTTCAGAACATAAACAGAGGAAGGGAAAAAACAGATGTGTTCAGGAGACTGATCATGTAGAAATGACCACTGGTATTGATTAGAGTGGGACCAAGCAGGCTCCTGGAGGACAGGATGTAAGAAGCAGCCAGAAAAAAAAAAAAACAAAACAGCAGCAGCCAGGAGCAGTTCTGAACTGAGAGCCTTGGCTTGGGAAGGCGCCTTGGGGCTCCTGAAGCCTGTCTCTATGTGAGTGGGCCAACACACTACTGCCACTTGTCTGGCAAGCCCTTTTGTCTGCACAGCATGGTCTGGACAGACCTCAGCCTGGGCCCTCTGGTCAGTC